GGGGGGGGGGGGGGGGGTCTGAATAATCCATAATCCTAGCAAAACTTGAAAAATAATCCGTATCCCATTTCTATAAAGAAAAATATCCCTTTAATAATTTAAAGAAATGTGAACAGTCAAATTATTCCACGCACAAGTAACAAACAAACCTGACTGTAACAAACCTGCAGCAGACCATAAGCAGACTTTAGTAGCAATGCTGTTCCAACAACTTGTCAAAAGGATGTGTTGGCACTGCTTGTTCCCAGCTTGTTGACAAGTTGTCAACGGCTTGTTGAAAACTTTCTACAAGGTTGTTGAGCTCAACAGACTTGTTACAAGTTGTTCCAACAGCTTGATATCAACAATTTGTCAACAAGTTGTGAGTGACAACCTTGTAGCAAGGAGCGGACATATCGATTTTGACTGGGAGCATGTAATCATGAAATGAGACCGACCCACCACTATGTGAATCCAGACCGACTATTGGTGAGTTGGTGTGTTGCAATAAAATTTAGTAAAAAGCATGGAAATTGATGGCATTTATTAGGAATTGTGCAAGAACACGTACAGTTTGCTGTGAAACGTTATATTTTTATTAAGTGTCCGCGCTTAGTCAGGTTTGACCACGGATTAGCGATTTCGTCAAGATCGATCGTGTCTGTTAGATCGCGCTCACACGCAAGAGTCAAGAGTTCACCGAAGCGTTCCTGGTTCATTACTGAACGCATAACAGTTTTCAATGATTTCAGCTTTGAAAAGCTGCGTTCGGCTGATGCGGATGTTACAGGAACTGTCAGACACGTAACCATAGAATTTTTGATTGGCCAAGACACTTCAGGGGGGTCTGAGGGCGTGCTCCCCCAGAAAAATTTTGATTTTCTAAGGCTTAGAAACGCTATTTCCTGCATTCTGGGAGCAGTTCAAACGAAATATTAATTTCACAAACAGTGACACAATGACTATAATTTTATACTGTAGTTTGCCCCCAATCCAGCTGAGGCTAAGAATTACAAATATTTTTGGTCGAACATCATTGATCAGGTGGCATAGTAAAAAAGTGTTTGTGCTCAATTGTTTTAATATTTGGGCGCTGGCCCGTACTTTTGTTATTGGGGTACTTGTGTACCCACACAGCCTCCCATTTCTTACGTCACTGTAGGGCAAGAATAATGCTTCTTAACATAGAGAGAACTACAGTCTGTCATTGAACTTGAACTCGATTGACTCATTTACCTAGTTATGGACCTGACTGTAAGCAACAATTGGAAACATCGCCTAGTCAGTGGAAACAATGTTTCGCTCCGGGATTCCAGATAAACCAGTGCGTCGTTCACTGATC